TGGTCATAGTGATGGTGGTGATGGTAATGGTGCTAGTGTTGGTGACGGTGGTGGTGGTGGTAGTAATGGCGATGGTGGTGGTTGTGATGGTGATGATGATGGAGGTGATGGTCGTAATGCTGGTGATGGTAGTAATGGTGATGGGGTGGTTGTGAAGGTGGTAGTGATGGTGGTGGTAATTGAGGGGCACTTGTAGTCACAGGATGTGATGCCAGTCAGGACAGTGGAAGTACTAGTGATAATAGTCATGGTGGTGACTGAAGGTGACAGTGGAGATGGTGATGACGGTGACAACAGTAAAGGTTACCGTGGTTAATGGTCACAAAGACATGGTGACTGATGAAGTAGTGGTGGTGGCTGCAGGTGTCATGGTGGCTATAGTGACAGTGGGGTCCTAGGGATGACAGAATGTCACAATGATGTGGTAAAAACCCCAGAATCTCCAGGAGCAGCAAGCTACTTTGGGGGCAGAGTCCTGGTTTTCCCCGGGCAGGTGGGAGGCGTAGGTTGGCATTCCCCACCCCCTCATTCTGCACCGACTTGCCGCCCCACCCTGCCGTGGCGTCTCCAGGTACGAGATGAAGGTGATAGGCTACAACCTGATGCAGGCCATGCGCTTCGCGGTGGAGGAGATCAACAACCACAGCCGCCTGCTGCCGGGCGTGCTGCTGGGCTACGAGATGGTGGACGTCTGCTACATCTCCAACAACATCCAGCCCGTGCTCTACTTCCTGTCCCAGGAGGGCTACTTCCTGCCCCTCCGGGATGACTACAGCAGCTATGTGCCCCGTGTGGTGGCCGTCATCGGCCCTGACAACTCGGAATCCACCAGCACTGTGGCCCACTTCCTCTCTCTCTTCCTCCTTCCTCAGGTGAGGCCCTGGGCCCTGGAGAAGGGTCTGGGGAGGGGCTGAATGGACTCACTTCTTCCCACCGATCACGCAGGATGGTGATGGTGCAAACAGAGGCATGGGCAGGACCTCAGCCCTGGTTACCTCCTGGTCACCTCCTCTCTTCCTGGCAGTTGGGCCTCTCGGTTAAGAGCTCCGGTGTGGGAGGCAGGCAGACCTGGATACACATCTGGGCTCTTGGCCACTGAGAGGCCGCGGCAAGTCTTTCATCTCTGAACCCCAGCCCTCCCCCCCTCCCACCGTACAGTGAGATACCACCACTTTGATGGACCCGCCCTTTGTGGCTCTGATCTGCCCTGGGGTCATTTTAATGTCAACCCCTCATTGTGATTGGGTGTGTGTGTTCACAGAGGCCCCTTGACTGCCAGGCTCAGAGTGGCCTGCAAGGTGCAAACCTGGGGATTACCCCTTGGGGGAGGCATGCTGGTGGCTTGGACTAGGAGAGAGACGGGAGGTGGCGCTGGGCAGACACCTCTGGAAGGTGGAGCCCATGGGTCTTGCTGATGGAGTCAATGCGGCACGGCACACGTGGAGGAGGCGTCAGAGGCATCTGCAATGACTCCAGCGTGTGGCGGGAGCACCTGGAAAGTTGGGTTTTCCATCAGCCAAGATGGGGACGGGTGCAGTGGCCCGGGCCCAGGGAGAAGATGCGCTCACTTTGGGATGTGCTAGACTTGAGATATCAGGTGGGCAGCTGAAAATAAGGGCCTGAAGTTGAGTGGAGAGGTTCAGCCCAGACCTCTAGGTGTTTATTTACATGGTATTTAAAGCCAGGAGGCTGGGTGAGCACCAGGGAGGGAGAGGTGGTAAGGAAGAGACAAGGACCACAGCCATAGCCCTGGGGTCCCCGAGGTGAAGCTGTCACAGACAAGAGGAGGGACAGCCATGGAGGTGGGACAGCCAGTGAGTCTGGAATAAGCCCAGAGAGGGTGGGGTGCTAAGGCCAAGTGACTGGATGGTGAGCTGGATGCTGGTGACAGTGAGGGTGAAAGTTCTATGCTCAGAAACACATGGCCAGGGCGGTTAAAGAGCAGCCCCACTCCCATCCCCCAAAAGATGCAAAGCAAGAGTCTAAGGCTGGGCACACAGCAGGTCATTGTCACCATGACATTACGGTCATGACACGAAGCCCCAAGCTCAGGGTCTGTCATTCAGCTCAACACAGGTGCACTCGGTGGTGGTCTAGGAGGCAGCGGTCACAGCTGCCCAGCTCTCAGTCCAGTGCATGCCGGGTGCTCCACAACGATCATGGTTGTCACCGTGACTCGTGAAGCATCAGCCGAGGGTCTGCCACACAGCCACTCCATGTGTGTTACCAGATGCTGTTATTTATGGGGGTAAAAGCAACTAAGCCAGGGCTTGGCACAAAAGGGGCACTTGCTACATGCTAGCAGTATTGTTATTTGATTGCTATTATTATTATTTTATTTTGGTAAATACTCAACCCCCACCCTCCCCGCCCCAAACAAACTCACTGCCATTGAGTCAACTCTGGTGCCTGGTGACCCCGAAAGGAGAGGGAAACCTTGGGGTTTCCCAGGCTGTCAATCCTTCTGAGAGCAGAATCCCTCATCTTTCACCTGCTGAGCAGTTGGTGGGTTTGAACGCCAACGGTCGGGACCCTAACGGGTAGCCCAGGGCACCTGCAGGACTCCTGTACAGATGTTCCTAGATGGGGATGAGGACAGTAATGTAGAACACCCCGCCTAGGGCACGGCCCACAGTCGGGGTGCTGGGTTATTGTGACCATCCCCAAGATGATACTTAGTCTATGGCCTGATGATGAACATCTAGGGTGTCACACCCAGTTAGTGCTTACCACATGTTATTACAAAGGGAAGCCTAGGCCTGGCTCCCAGGAGCTAGCTGCTTACCAAATGCCCGTTCGTACAGTGCGGGTGACCCCGATGAGGGTCACACGAAGGCTCCGTGGTCCCTAGGTAGCACCCTTCGCTAACGCACCAGCCCCTCTCCTCCGGCAGATCACCTACAGCGCCATCAGCGATCAGCTGCGCGACAAGCTGTTCTTCCCCGCGGTGCTGCGCACGGTGCCCAGCGCCGAGCATCAGATCAGGGCCCTGGTGCAGCTGATGCTGCGCCACGGCTGGAACTGGATCGTCCTCCTGGTGAGCAGTGACGACTATGGCCGCGAGAACGGGCAGCAGCTCAGCGAGCAGCTGGCGGACCGGGGCATCTGCATCGCCTTCCAGGAGTCGCTGCCCACGCCGCAGGCCAACCTGGTGGTGGAGGCGCCGGAGCGCCAGCGCCTGGAGTCCGTCGTGGCCAAGCTGCGGCAGAGCTCGGCGCGCGTCGCTGTCCTGCTCGCGCCGGACCTGACCTTACACAACTTCTTTGGCGAGGTGCTGCGCCAGAACCTCACGGGCATGGTGTGGCTCGCCTCCGAGTCCTGGGCCATCGACCCGGTGTTGCACAACCTCACCGAGCTGCACCGCACGGGCACCTTCCTGGGCGTCACCACGCCGAGCGTGCCCATCCCGCGCTTCAGTGAGTTCCGCGTGCGCCGCGCCCAGGCGGGGCCGCCCGCGCCCAACCAGACCAGCCCGCCGGCCACCTGCAACCAGGAGTGCGACACTTGCCTGGACGCCGCCCGGTCCTTCAACGCCATCCTCACGCTCTCCGGCGAGCGCGTGGTCTACAACGTGTACGCCGCAGTTTACGCCGTGGCCCACGCTTTGCACAACCTCCTGAGATGCAACCAGACCGGCTGCTCCAAGGAGGCGGTGCACCCTTGGAAGGTGAGCATTGCAGGCCCCAGGCGCCGCGGTTGCTCCGGAGACCGCAGGGAGGCCCCCTGCCTCACTTGCTGCGTTCTGGGTAAAGTATATCCCAGAAGCCCTTCTTGATATCAAAGCAAAATGCCTTTATGAACGCCATCCTCAGAGTACATAGGGGAAATTCACTGGAAGGGTACTGCCCAGGCAGGGCTCAGGGCTCATGGATCTTCTCATTGCCCGGGTACACGGACCTCATTTTAAACCCACTGCCATTGAGTTGATGCCAACGCATAATGAATCTATATGGATTTTCTGAGACTGGAAACGTTTAAGAGAGCAGACAGCCTCTTCTCTCTCCTGATGAGCCGCTGATGGATTTGAACCACTGACATGCCTAATCCACAGTGCCATCTGGGCTCCTAACTTGATTTCACATATGAGTTCCTGGATGGTGCAAGCTGTCAACTCTCGGCTGTGAACCCCCAAGTGGGAGGTCTGAGTCCACGCAGAGGCACCTGGGAAAAACGGTCTGGTGATCCACTTCGGGGAAACCAGCATTTGAGAACCACGGGGCGCACTTCCATTCTGACACACACGGGGCGCTGTCAGAGTCGACTTGACGGAGACTATTCAGTTCTGACTCAAACTTGAATTTAAATCTTTGTTTTGCTGACTCACTCACACAACCCCCGGGACTCACACAAAGACTTCCGGGGTATAGAAGAGTTCACTGAGCATTGCAGAAGTGGAGGGGTTCACACCAGACGTTTAATTTATACGTCGATATGAGACATGTCTGTGTGAAGTGGTTACACGTTGGGCTGCGAGCCCCAAGGTCAGCAGTTCAAAACCACCAGCCGCTCCAAGGGAGCGAGAGCTTTCTACTTCTGTAAACAGTTCCAGTCTTGGAAAGACACAGGGGCAGCTCTGCCCTGTCCTAGAGGGTCGCGGCGAGTCGGCATCAACTCGATGGCAGTGAATTTGGAGATTTGGTTCTGGCCTTTGTACTGTGGGGTCTGACTCCATTGCTTGCCCACCCCGATCCTGCCCACACCCCCTCTTGAATCCCCCCTTCCTCGTTTTTTCTAGATCCCCCTCATCCTCACATACCTGGCCACGCCTTTCACAGAGCACTTTGGTTTAAAAGTCCTCTCCATCGGTAGCTCCCCAGCCATAACCTTGGAGCGGAACCTTGCAACCTTAAGCACGTCTCTTAAAAGAAAAGGAAAAAAAAAGAGCAATTATTTTTAAGGAGATATGGTGCTAGCTGCTGCACCCCCTTTGTGAATACTCACTCACCCCCAAACACTGGCCCTGTCCTTGCTCTCTATGCACAGATGAAACCAAAGTTCCCCCCGAGCTGTCACCAGCTAGGAAGTGGCTGAGCCTCGACCTCACACCACCCAAGTCCTTGCAGAAGTGGTTACCATGGTCCCAGGGGCAAGGGAGGGGGTGGGCTGGAGAGGAGGGCACTGGTGATGGAGAGGTGGAGAGGGCCCTTGGAGATGGTGTATGGGGAGATGTCCTGAGCCTCGATCGTCTCACCTGTTCAACAGAAGGAACGATGTGGGTGCTGCTGGGTCACTGAGAGGATGGGCGATCGTGTGTGCAGGTTACCCGTGCAGAGCAGAAGCCAGCAGGCTCCTCTGCCCTCTCCCAAGCCCCTCCCCCACACCCCCTTCATTCATTCCCAGGCCCAGCATTTGGTCTTGGGAGAGCATGTGGGTTCAGTCTGTCTTGGAGGGAAGACCTCTGCTGGGGGTGGAGGTGAGGCTGGGTGAGGAAACGGCCACGGGACTCGGACGTCAGAAGACTCTCAAGACGCCAGTAGTTCAGGTCCAGCCCACTTGGTAGAGTTTCAGGAGCAGTGCTGTTGGACTGTGTCATGGGCCCCTTGGATGGATCCCAGGTTGTTCCGACAGCTTGGTGAGGTCCTTGAAGGATGTAGCAGACATGCTAAGACGTGGTTCCCCAGCTCCTTCCAGCTCGTCTCCACCATCCCGACCCCACTGCCTGGCTGGAGCCGCCCTCCTTTCAGGCTGAGCTCCTGGGACCACTGCTCTTGGGTCTCCCACTGACAGCAAGTCGATCCTGACTAAATCTAAGGTTTCCCAGCCTGTCCATCTTTATGGGAGCAGACAGCCTTGTCTTTCCCCCACAGAGCAGCAGGTGGATTTGAAGCGCCAACCTTGTGGTTAGCAGCTCAAGGCCTAACCCATAGTACTCCCAGGACTCCTTTCTTGGGCCCAAATTCCCAGCGACTTCTAGAGCCCACCTTGCTCCTCAGCTGCCTGGCTGTCATTCCCCAAAGTGCCCCCAAGGGGTAAAATGCAAACCAAACTCACTGCCATCGGATTGATCTGGACTCTCAGAAGGATAGGGGAGAGGGGTCCTTTTGGGTCTCCCAGACTAAATCGTTTCAAGGGCAGACAGCCTCGTCTTTCTCCCTCTTGAGCACTGGCTGTGGGTTCAAACTGCTTACCTTCAGTTTAGCAGCCCAGCTTAGAACCCACTACAGCATTAGGCCTCCCTAAAAGCTCCTGTGTGGGTGGGTAGGGTGGGGGAATGGATCTTGGAGGTACATTGGTGGGATATCTGAGCTGGAAACCTTTAGGGATCATCTGGGAAGTCTCATCCCAGAGAGGTTCAGTGACTTACCCAAGTCACAGAGCAAATCAAGGATGAGACAAGGGCTTAAGTTCAGACTGCAGGGTACAGGGGAGAGCGGGGGGTGGGGTGGGGGGACTGTGGGCTACAAACATTGGGCCCCAAAGGGAGAGCTGATAGCAACTCCTTGTGCAGCTTGGATACTTACTATTCCTCAGCTACTCTTCTAAGTTCCTGATGGAGTCAAAGTCAGTGATTGCTCAGAGCTTGGAATATGGAGTTTTTATTGCACCCATTTTGCAGAAGAGGTAATGGGGCTTGGAGAGTTTAAGTGACAGGCCCAAGGCCTTAGAACTGGGGCCCAAACCCAGATGAGTCTCATTCTAGAACCAAGCACTCAGCCTCTACCACCCACATGGCAGCATTTTGGAAAGCTTCGTTTTACGGCTGGGGAAACTGAGGCTTGGGGCATAGGCAAGTCTCCTAGACCTCAATGGCCTGCGATGTCAGTCTGCTTCCCTTCCCTTTGGCCCTCGCAGCTACTCCAGGAGCTCTGGAAGGTCAACTTCACCCTCCTGGGCCACCAGATCTTCTTCGATGAGCAGGGAGACCTGCCCAGGGGCCTGGAGATCATCCAGTGGCGATGGGACCTGAGCCAGAACCCCTTCCAGAGCGTTGCCTTCTACCACCCCAGGCAGGAGCAGCTGGTGCCCCTCTCCCCCATCATCTGGAACACGCCTAACAACACGGTCAGCTTAGAGGGCCTGGGGGTGGGCGTGCCTGGGGGCTGGGCATCAGGGCTCTCGCTGGGTTACAAGGACCCCTCTTATCTAGGAGGCTACCCACAGGCTCCTTACTGGTAGCTGGTGGGGTCTCTATAGGTGAGTGTGCAGCCCGCGGTCTTGCCTGTCCTCCTGTGAGAAGATGGTGGAAGTTCATGACAAAGAGCGGCACCGGGGCAAGTAAACACCAGTTGAACACCAGTGGTCAGGCTCCCTGCTCAGGAGTGCCATCATTACAGCATCCCTTTGAGTTAGGCGCTGCCGCCATATGCGTTAGGGAACTGAAGGCACAGAGAAGTTGTGTGGCCTGCCTATGGTGGTGGAGCTTGGGAGTCCAACCCAGGCAACCTGTGCTCTCCGTCCCTGTCACAGGATGGAGGGTCTGCTGTGGGGGTCCAGGAAGAGGGAAGAGCTCAGAGCTGGAGCACGCTGCGGTTCCCTTCCGCGCCAAGCCCTGCTCTTGGCGCCTTCCTTGCCCTTGTGCACTTGAGCTTTGTGGCCCCCTTTGAGTTGGGGGCCACTACTACCACCATTTGCAGATCCAGGGCCCCAAAGCACCAGGCGAAGCTCCTGGACCAGAAAACGCAGAACTGGAGCCCAGAGTCCCCACCGCTCACTCTCCTGTCTTTGCTTCAGGCCAAGAGGTGCGAGGCAGGAGGGCATGCTCCTGTGTTGAATGAAGTTCCCAGGGATCAAGTGCTGGAGGAGCAGGGGCCCCAGGTTCCCTGCAGGCAAACGGCAGGTGCTGGGTATAGGTGTGTGGGCAAATCCCACCAGAGCGCCCTTGCCTGCCCTCTCCTCTTCTCCCAGGGCTTCCCTGTAAGAAACCCAACGGCTAAGGTGCTAAATGTGATTAGACAGACACAACATAGGAAAGGGCTTCAAGAACCTTGTGGAAGATGGAATGAAAAGATGATAACATTTTCCCATGGACTTAAAAATGATTGGAAAGTTTAATTGACAAGAATTCACATATGTAACCCAATCATTGAAACTATGAAAAAGAGTTGTTCAGTCTTCACCGTGATCAATTTTAGAACATTTTCTTCTTTCTTATGCTCATTATTAGCTCCCCTTCCCCACCAACCTCCCCTGTCGTACCCCCGAGACACTATTCATCCAGTTACTGTCTCTCTATAGATTTATCTATCCTAGAATTCATATGAAGAAAAACATACAAAGACAGCAAGAAAAACCCCAAACCCAACTATAACAACAAAACAAGACATTGAAAACCCATAGTTGAAGAGATAACAGAAAATAATAAAACCCAGAGAAGTTATGAATGGGCCCAAAGGGAGAACAGACTGCACGTTGTTGAATGTTAACCTCACCACATCTCTGTTGTCCCCCTTCCATTGCACTCTGTCCGAGAGCAATGCTGTCACAGCTCTGGTCAGTGGTCAGAGGACTCACTGGAGGATTACTCCAAGTGCAGACCCTGCAGATGGATTTTGGCCTTCCACTGTCATCCGTAGCTTTCTATACACCGTGCACTCGGAATTTACTCTAATACTGTTTCCTCCTCTGGTCTTGGATTTTACGTTATACAATCTTTGGATCACACAGACCAGTGTGCTTCTTCTGTGCAGACTTAGTTGATGCCTCACTTCGATGATTGCTTGTTTTAAGACAAGCCTTTAAGACGCCCAGATGCTACTCTTTCTGATGGTCGAGCACCATCTGATTTCTTCACCACACTTTGCTAGAGCACCCATATCTTCAGTGATCTCTTCATGAGGACAAGTATCGAGCAGGGCCATGTCATAAGAACTAATTGTTCTTAGATTAGGGCTATGATTAAGTGTGAGCTCAAAATCCATTTAGGTATCTATATATCCCTGGTCCACTTTAGAGAAAGCATTATCCTTCTATTAGGCAACATTATAACTCATCTCCTTGGGGCGGATGGCAATACTATTGATAGTATCCTGAATTTAGACAATGTTATAGAATTTCAAATAGTTTTTAGAAAAATTAAGTATACATGTATGGGACAGAGAAGCATACATGCATGGGACAGCTTTTTAGACGCAAGTACATGAATTGCTGCCTTGTACAGGTAAAAAACTCAAGGGACTGGAACTTTCAGTAACACTCATTCACTAAGGAGAACCCTGCCTGCCAGATGCAGACACACCGTAAGAAAACTGTGCTCGGATACAATGGCTGTATGGGTTGTTATGAGAGCTGTGAGAGCCTCCAATAAAATGATTTATTTAAAAAAAGCGAAAACATTAAAAAATGCAAAGAGAGCGTGCAAATGACAAATGTTTGGCAGTCCC